ACCAAACACTTGCTCTTCCTTTTTTTCTTAAACACCTTCTTACCTAAATATATATAGAGCTGAAGTGACTAATAGGTTTGAAAAAAAACGGCCATTGGTCCTCATTACGGTGTTCTGATAGAATTAATTTAGGATTTCGTGAGGTCAAATGTCAGTGCGAGGTCCTAACAGGCAGCAGCTGTCATGAGGGTCTGACAGTGATTAGAACCAGCGGACTCAAACATCCCAGGGTGCTCGACCTCATTAAGTAGACAACCTGAAAAAGCAAAACGGTGGTAAACCTAAAAATGGAAAGCATCCACCCCTCAAAGGTCAGGAGTAGTTAAAAAGGTAGAAATGGATCCAGGGGTGGATTTACATTGAAAAAAAAAAAAAAGACAATTCCTTATCCTGTGACTTCACCAAGTCTGGGAAATTTAAAATTAGAAAAAAAGAAAAAAATCCCAACTTTCCTGAAACCAGAATCGAAGCCTTCCACTCGTATTTTCTGCAACTGTAAATTCTGCCCTAATTACATTCTTTCTTAGCGTGTGAAACCAAAGATAGAAGTGGTCTGGTTGATGTGGTGCGGGGGTGAAACATGGTTTGTTAGCAGTCCGGGAGCTTTAGCCACATGTGGTTGTGCAGTGGTTGGGACTGTCTGGGTGAGAATGAGGGCATGTCATTCTCCACGGTTTGCCAAGTTTACCCTGACTTGGAGCATACAATCAGAGAGATTGTTTAACAAAATGAAGGCCTGCTGTTCGGGTTATGGTTTGGTTGGGGTGTTGTGATCGCCATGGAGACAGCTGTTACTCATGTGGGAAATTGTATAGAAATTCTGTCAAGCTTCTTGTGGTACAGATTCTGTCAATTATGCTAAAAATGTGGACCGTTCTAGACTGGCATGCAGCATTGTGTATGCACTAAACATTATTTAACCCACATAAGTTTGATATCCTGATGAACTTCTCATCAAATCCACATCCTTGTCACACATCTGGAGCTCCTTTCTATATAATGCCATGCTGCAGATGTGTAACTGCTCCAAATATCTTGGCAAGAGTGAAGACGTGTGCCTATCTGTACTGAAACACAGAAGCAAAGACCAAAGGGAGCAAGATTCCTGTGGGTGACTATGTAATTTAATTTTATATGCACATTAGAAGCCAGAGAGTATAAATTACATGCGGACTAAGAAGGGACGTTGTCCCAGGAGAAACGCTCCGCTCAGCAGTCCCTAAAGAAATGTGAAAATCTTTACAACTGTCTTTACTTTACAAAAATAGGGAAATCAAAACCGTTCTTGAGTTTTAGGGAAACCTTTGGTTATTGTTTCTGCTCTGGTGCGCCTTCCTTTTCTAGTCAAGAGCCCAGAGTCCACAATTTCTGGTCAGAAATTCCCCCACAGTATAAAAAAGACGTAAATCTGGGAGTTTATTAAATTGTGTCCCTGTTTTATCCTCCAGCTATATATGGCAGATATTTGGCAATACAGTTTAAATTTGTCTTATTTATGTGTGGTTATGTGTTATGTCTACATATGATGAGAAGAGTGGACATAAAACTAAAGAGCTGCTGCAGCTCTAACATTTGAGTGACAATTACACTACACTTGACATGTTTTGTAACCACCTCAAATAGACTGTTTTACTTCATTCATGTATTCCTGCAAATCCTACATAGATGTTATACTAAGGCAGCACAGTGGCACAGTTGGTTGAGCTGCCGCCCCTCAGCGAGCAAGTCGCCCAGTTCAAATCCCGGCTGGGTGGGCCATTCTGGGTGGAGTTTGCATGTTCTCTCCGTGCATATGTGGGTTTTCTCCAGGTACTCCTGTTTCCTCCCACAGACTAAAAACATGCATGTTAGGCTGATTGGTAACTCTAAATTGTCCGTAGGTGTGAGTGAGAGAGTGAATGGTTGTTTGTCTCCATGTGGCCCTGTGATGGACTTACGACCTGTCGAGGGTGTCCCCCACCTCTCACACAGTGATGGCTGAATATGGGCACCAGTGACCCCCACTACCCGAAAAGGAAGAAAAGGGTAAAGATAATGGATGGATGGATGGATGGATGGATGGATGGATGGATGGATGGATGAATGGATGTTATAATTATCAGTTTTTATGCAAATAACAAGAACAAGATTCAATGTATGTTATTCTAAAAGCCAAATGATCAAAAATATAGAACAATTGAATGGTGCAAACACATTGAATGCTTAAATAATTAAAAAAAAAAAGGAAAAAGTAAGGTAGCTTTGAATTTGATGTCAAAAATATCTTGAAAAAGTCAATTCAACAAAAGGCTGTAAAGGTAAGTGGTATGAAAAGAAAACAGCTGGAAAGGCCTTTTTTCAACAAATTATATTATTTATTAATAATGTTTTAGAGAGGCAGAATCTCTCAAGAGTAAGGATGGACAGGGGTTCACTAATCGGAAAAACAAACAAAACAAAAAAACAACAAAAAAAAAATAAAATATATATATATATATATATATATATATATCACAACGTGTAAAAAGAGTGGAACAATTTCAGAATATTGCTCCTCAACAAACATTTTGAAATCACTGCATGGACTCAGAAACCGTTCCACAAATGATTGTCTGTAAAAACACAGTTGACAAAGAAAAAGAAAGAAGAAGCCATGAGTGACTGCCATCTAAAAAGTCATCAGTCTTCTCTGAGCTGTCATTTAAAACAGACTGAGGCAAAGTTAAGAACTGTTCTTTGGTTAGATAATTAAAATTTTAAATTACTTTTGAAGACCATTGTTTAGATCTTTTGTACTAAAGAGAAGATGGACATCTGTTCTTTTATCAGAGCATATTTAAAACCCTGTTTCTCTGATGTTATGGGGGTGCATTAATCCCTATTACATGGGCAGCTTACACATTTGGTTAGATTAAAATAAAAACTACATACAGGTTTAGATCAACATATACAACAAAGTATTTTGTTTATTTTAGCATATTTAAGATATTGTTAAATTACATAATGCCTCCATTGCAATGGCATGCATCACAGTAGAAATGTCCAGGTGCTGAACTGGTATGCATGTAGTCCAGAGTCCAGACCTCTCATCAAGTGAACACATTTGACATGTCATGATGGGCAAGGGACTGCTGGACAACTCTACATCAGACTAGTATTGGACTTGTCCTCCAAAAACTCGACATTTACAAGGAGACACTTTAGAATGGTAAACATGTCACAGTTGCATCTTTTGAGCTATATTGCAGCACACAATACTAAATTATCTTTTATTTTATGTTTTAGCATTTGAAACAGTATGCACCATTGTGAATAAAATATGGGTTTATGAGAGCTGCATATTATTACTTTTGTTGTGGGTTTTTTTTTAATCACGGTACGTTTTACACAACATTCTTTTTTTTTATTTATTGGTGTTGTACTTTTGCACCACATATGATTACAGTTGCATTAAACACAAAACATGCATGCACATAAAAAGGATGCTTTCGATGGCAGAACAGGACAAAAACGAAGCCAGAGACATTCATGCTTGACAATCAGCACTTGTTCTGCCATTCAGCACACACACACACACACACAGAGACTGAACTTTAACAGCTGCTAAAGAAGGAGAGCATAGCACTGACCAAGTAACAAAAAGCATAATTTACTTATTTTACTGATCATTCTAGACATTATTGTGTTTTTAAAGACATCAGGCATAACAATGTTTCATTCAAAGATGCTTGTTCTATCTTTATCTCCTTGAGAACATTGTTATTACAAGTTCGAACATTGAAAACTTCTTACCTCATCACCTTTCCTGCAGAAAGCGACACGCTCAAACTGCGCTTTCTATCATTTCCACTTTACAAATCCATTCCCCTCTGCCACCTGCAGTGTGCATGGAGCGGAGGCAAACTGCCGTCCAGCACAAACATACCTTGTCTTTTCATAGAGTGGCCGGTGATAGAAATCGTCCCACATTACTCGAACAAAGACATCTTTAACAACACCAGTGATTCACCTGCTTATCTTCTCTTTTTTGATATTGTATGCGAGCGGTCATAAAAATTGTGTTTAATTGGAGGTGGAAATGTGACTTGTGGATTTTAACAGGCTAAAGAAACAACAAGTTTCATTAAAAAAAAACTTTGTTACAGCTGTACCCAAAAGGCCTGTGAAGGTTAAAGTTATTAACTTTACCCCATCATTGCTAGAATAGTTTTTGACCACAAACAATTGTTTAAATTCATATTTGGTTCTTTACTGAAAATTCACCACAGTGAGTGAAAATATATAAAAAATAAAGCTTAAAATCCCACCCAGAGCCAGTGACATTGGCTGTTATAAACATGTATATTCTAAAAAAGGGAAACACTGCCACCAAGTCTGTCTTGTAAGAGGAGAGGTCAACATTTGGAATAACTTAAACATCTGCAACAAACTAGTTTGTTTTAATTATTTTCATATATAGGAAGTACTTTATACATATTATTCTGGCTTTACTTTGTTTTTCTGCATATCACAAATATTTAATTCTGCAGAACTTCTCACATTTCACTATGTTTCTCAAATTTTTTTTTTGTTTGTTTTGTTTAGCTCTAATCAAACATAATGTCAAATGACAGACAGATATCTGAAGGGATGCGATACTTATGGGCTTTTTAAAATTTATATATATATTTTTTTATAATGAGACGAATTTCACAATAACTGTTTTTTCCATCGTGAATCAGTTTATTCTGTGTCTTATTCTCAACACAAACTAACACCAGCAACAATTAATATGTTAAGTGTGTAAAGAAGTTTTATTTGGATGCATATATTTCCAAAGAGCTTTGTGACAGAGGACGTCAGCTCGCGCAGCTTCACCCGAAGTCATCAAAGCACGCAAAAGAAAAATCATTATAATAATGCAGCCCACATAAAACCGCTCAGCCAATGAGGAGAAAGTGGTGATTTTATTCAGCCAATCCCAGGCGAAGGGTGGGGTGACAGATTTAAAAGTCCAACTCAAGTTGCAGGAACTTGGAGCTCCACAGCTCATATTGTGAAGCGCAACTTTGACGACTGCACCCCCGGAGGCAACTTAGAAAAAAAAAATTAAACAAGACAAATAAACAGGAAAAAAAAACATTGGAGTGTCACGGACAGAGACGGTTAAAGGATATTCAGCGCGGCGCACCGTGCGTAAAAAGGCGCATCGGCTGTCCAGCTGCGAATTGATTTATTCTTTTAATCGCGCAAACCATTGACGGATTTTCATCTTTCTGGGACTGAAGAAATTATGTTAAAAATGACAGAGGAGCACGACAAATGTGAGCAGCCGTGCAGCCCATCGGGCACGAACAGTTCCATGTCCCAGGACGAGTCCGACTCGGATGCTCCGTCCTCACCGACGGGCTCCGACGGACAGGGATCCCTGCTCGCTGGTCTGGGCAAGAAACTGGACTCCGAGGATGATGAGCGGTTCCCAGCCTGCATACGGGACGCAGTCTCTCAGGTCCTCAAGGGGTACGACTGGTCTCTGGTGCCCATGCCCGTGAGGGGGAATGGATCTTTGAAGAATAAACCTCACGTCAAGAGACCCATGAATGCGTTCATGGTGTGGGCGCAGGCGGCCCGCAGGAAGCTGGCAGATCAGTATCCACACCTGCACAACGCAGAACTCAGCAAGACACTGGGCAAACTGTGGCGGTAAGAAACAAAAATATATTATTTGGAAGACAACAATAAACAGTGAAGCAATATAACAATAAGCACCACGTGCAAAAGTCGACATGAACACATTAGTTGACGCTTTTAAACTATAAGCCACTGTTTGCTATTGTTTCTATTTGTCTGAATAATTCTTAAAGACCTTAAAGTAACTTTTCTTAAAAAGTTGAACTTTTTCTTATTCCATTGAAGATATGTAAACTTCTTTTGTTTGGTCTTTTTTGTTTTTGTTTTCTACAAAAGCTTGCTTTCAGAGAACGAGAAGAGGCCGTTTGTAGCTGAAGCGGAGAGACTCCGGGTTCAGCACAAAAAAGATCACCCAGACTATAAGTACCAGCCGAGGCGACGGAAGAATGTGAAGCCAGGTCAGAGTGACTCAGACTCAGGGGCAGAACTGGCTCATCATATGTACAAAACAGAGCCAGGGATGGGAGGACTGGTAGGGATGTCTGATGGACACCACCCTGAACATGCAGGTAAGTGAAGTTTAGCTCAAAAATGAGGCAGAAAATGTTACTTTTTGGAGTATTAACTTATTTAAACTTCTTTCTTTATACAGAGTGATGAATCTTAACTTGATTATTACTGCTTTCTTTTTTTAGGACAGACTCATGGACCACCTACTCCACCCACTACCCCCAAAACAGACCTGCACCATGGAGCCAAGCAGGACCTTAAACATGAAGGCCGCCGTCTTGTTGACAGCAACCGGCAAAACATAGACTTCAGCAACGTCGACATCTCTGAGCTCAGCACTGATGTCATCAGCAATATCGAGACCTTCGACGTCCACGAGTTCGACCAGTACCTCCCGCTGAACGGTCACGCCTCGGGCTTCTCTGCTCTGTCTTCAGACCACAGCCACGGGACGGCTCCGGTGCCTAGCAGCTCTTACGCTTCTACATACAGCCACACGGGCGGCTCGTCCTGGAGTCGAAAGTGTGCCGTGTCCTCCTCTTCTTCCTCTGCCAGCGAGGCCAGCCAACACCGTCTCCACATAAAAACGGAGCAGCTGAGCCCCAGCCACTACAGCGAGCACTCCCGCGGGTCACCCTCGCACTCTGATTACAGCTACAGCAGCCAGGCTTGCGTCACCTCAACCACGCCGGCTGCCTCGGCTGCACCCGCCTTCTCAAGCTCCCAGTGTGACTATACTGACCTGCAGAGCTCTAACTATTACAACCCCTACTCTAGCTACCCCTCCAGCCTCTACCAGTACCCCTACTTCCACTCTTCCAGGCGGTCTTACGGCAGCCCAATCCTAAATAGTCTGTCCATGGCTCCAGCTCACAGCCCCACAGCCTCCAGCTGGGACCAGCCCGTCTACACCACTTTGTCTCGACCTTAAAGGGGACCAGAAACGGTCTGTTTGCACCAGAGACTCGTTCAGTTTGATGCACTACTAATGAAGGACATAAAGCAGAGAAGAGTCGTTTCTAGGGGCTAGTAGGCTACCTGTTTTGAACATGAAACACACAAGGAAAAAGTGCCTGCTGATTTTATACAAAGTTATATTGTCGCATCCAATACATGCAGACTTTTTACAAGTGAGCCAAACTCCTCCGTGAGGACATACTGCCTATACGCCGACGTCCTGTACATCCACTCTTTTTATATGTGCACAGTTAAGGTAAAAAAGATCCAATTGTGCAGGATTGAAAATGTTTGGTGAACGGTCCGAAAAAAAAAAAAGAAAGAAAGTTCAGATGACCAGTCACGTTAAGTTGCAGTAGAATTTGCATTAACAGCCGGAGTGACATCACAGAACGCTATTTGCATCAGTGGTTCAGCCGTAGGTAAATGGCTCCTTTGAATTTAGTGTCATTTTGCATAAAAGTCTTAAGTCTTAATTTGTATTTATGTTCATGCATTATTAAGTTTTCTTTTTTGAGTAGATAAACACATGTTACGTGGGTTTGGTTATTTTATAGTACTGTTTTATTGAGAAAAAGAAGGTAAATGAAGTAAAACACAGCGCAGTGCGTTTTCAGACCAACTTACAGAAACATCTCCATTCCAAGTTTTCAGCGAAATGGACAGGACCAACAGACTCTCACAGGACAGAACAGGTGTCTGGAATATACGCTTGGCAAATTGCGATTAGTCATGATCTGGGCTTAAAGGAAATGGGGTAAAATAACACCGCACACTGAGTGACATGTCAGCTGGACCTCCTGTATATGATGGAAAACAAGAATATGTACACGACACGTGTGTCAGAGAAATAATGTTCAGATGCGTGTGTGAGATTTTTTTTTTGTCTCGCACACGTTGCATATCTTATAAAACACACCAAATGAGTCAGAATGTATTCTCTTTAGTTTTCTCTTATTCTCTTTTTGAACTTTAGCCACAACTCAAATCGGACTGTTCTAACTGAAAGTGAAGGTGCCATATTTATTTGATCCAAAGCCATCTCGCCATTCCATTCAAGCATTAAATATTTGTGTGTGCCTTCTAATGATTATTGTCAGTATTTCCAAATTAAAAAGACATTATTAACTAACTGTCTGTGCACAGTTCACTCAGACCTTCTGGTAACTGGTTCCCCGTTAATTTAACATCATGGACATCAGTTTGCATCGTTCTGTAACACGCTGAATGAGAATCCTGCCGACCATCATGCTCTGAGTTTGTCCACCAACTTGCATTTTTATATATCATTGTTGTGTATGATAGAAAGAAAAAAAAAACAAGGCTGTGAAAACGATTGTTTTTTTGTTTTTTTGTTTAAACTCGTTTCATTCGCACATGCTCAGCTAACTCATCCGCTGGCCATTTTTTTAAAATAAAAAAATAATAATTGCTTTGTCTTGATGTTTGTTTCGTCTTTCTTACTGACACCCACAAGTTATCCAGTTTTAAGTTGTACATTTTTTCCTCGCTAAACAAATTTGGAATTAGTTTGTGCAAATAAATCAATAAATAAATATGATATAAGTCAGTTGTGGGGTTGCGTTTGTGTTGTATAAAGGTTCATATTAACCTATTTCTATGTATATTATGAGGTTTGATGAGTGCAAATAACACATTCAGAGTGATAAGATACGGGCTGTACAAGTTTTACTGCATCTCATGACGCCATTAGCGTTTTTGCATTTGTTTTTTTAGAAACACACATTGTCAAAAAAGGGGAAAAATGCATACACCTTCTGAACCACTTGAGTTTTCAGCATTAGTTCATATTTTATGCATTGTGATGTTGTTAAAGTTATTTTTTGAATTAATATTTTTCCAACTCAGACATAAAATGAATAAGGAGAGATCCTGTCTCCTCTGGCTCCGGTGGGTAGAATGCTCATGTTGGCTCTGGCATGCACGCCAATCCATCGTCCCAAACCAGTCCAGGGAGAAGCTAAGTGCCAGGGCCGCGCTGCTGAATTTTAATGATTCATTATGCGGTGGAGGGGCCCTATTGTGTCCCTTTATCCGGAGAGCTAGAGAGGAATTAATTGGACAGAAAATGGAAGGGCAAGGGGAACTGACAAGCCATTAAGAAGGTTCTGAATTGATGATTACACACACACATACACACATAATTCCTGTCTTATATCACAACACTCAAACAAATCATAAATAAACCAACAACCACAATGACCACCAAACCAAATTGCAGGAATAATATCAGCGCACATAATCTGAAAATAATAAAAGAAGATAATACCACAGCAGATGGGGTGTGGGTGGCTCAAGAACGACTTGTTGTTTTTCTTCCCTCAAACTCTTTTTTTTTTTTTTTGCACAAGTGTTTGCCAAATACTTTCAGGAGGAACTCTTGAGAAAGAACAGGAGTGAATAAAAGTGAGGCAAAAAAGGCTCTTCGGGGTGCTCCGGTTCTATTTCTTTGGAACTCGTCCACAGTTTGTGATTGGAACTCTTGAAAGCCCATAAAGCTTAAAAAAATAAATAAAAAAATAAGCAAAACAGAACAGCATGGCATGAACCAAACCAAATAAATGAACATGCATCACACAAATCACACAGTATCAGAAAGTTTGTGCAAACTGTTGACAAATGCCAGCTGCTATTTTAAGCCTGTGCGTTTCCTGTAGATGCTCACATAAGCAAGCTTCTGCAGAAAAGTAAAATATAATATTGCCGATGCCACATTCCAGCTGCCAAATGTAGCCTCGATTGAGGGAAGAGCATTATTGGGAGAGCAGCTGTGGTTTTCTTGCCCACAGAATATGAGAAGAAAGAAAGATGAACCTGGATAAGCTGCTTTCACCGCCTGACCACGTCCTCATTGGTAAAAGCAGGAGACCTAACCTGCCTCCTCGTTAGATAGTCTCATCCCTCCTAATGAGCTGGGCTGACTCAGGGCAAATGCTGGTGGTGAAAATCTGGATCTGGAATCTGTGAAAACCCCAAGAATGTGAGGCTGATTTGCAAGTGAAATTAAAGAGGACATAAAGCATAGTTATTGCCTGCTGCTGCTGCTGAATCTGCCCAGACGCTTTCAACTCCATGCATCGAGTTTCTCTCTGAATCCTCAGCTTCCTCTCTGCCAGGGACTCAGTACTGTTCTGTGCCTGCAAAAAAAAAAAAAAAGACAAAATGACATTACATTGTGCAATAATCCTGTCTTTTTTCTATGCAAATTCCTCCATTTGTAAAAAAAAAAAAAAAAACAGCCGCATAGCATCATACAGCTGAAGTAAATACATTCTACTTCAGCTTATTTTACCATGAAATGTGTAACTGTTGTTAGTTTTGCTTGTTTTAGACCAAGTTCCAATGACTCACAGCTGCAGGAGCTTCTAGTAGAAACTCCTGCTTGACCTTCTTGATCCCCACATATCCAGTAAAGGTTTATTCCTTTTAAATGAACGAGTTTTAGACTCTTGTAGACGGAGGTATGATCATGCCAAGCAGAAGCGGGTGGATGACGGAATCAACCACAATCTCTTATGGAAGAGAAACAATCTCAAATGGTCAATAAATTCATGTTGACTCCATCGAGTTTTAACCGGCAACATTTTCATCAAGCAGCTCCTGCGAGCGCTTGAAACAAAAAGATATGCTCAACAAGAACTGAAAGCTTCCATCATGTATCCCTGACTGTACAGATCCAAACTGTTAGCCATCTGCCCATTCTTTTAGGACTTATATGTGGGTTTTTTTTTTTTTTTTACGTGGAAAGATCAACAGTCAAATTGAGTCAAAATATATATTTTTATAAAATGTAAAATCTTAAGCTTTTACCAGATTTTTTAAAAGAATAACAAAAAGAAAGAAATCCATCCCAGGAAAACAGAAGTCCCAGAGGTGTTCCCAGTCATTTCTGTTGTTCACCTAAAACATAATTATACCTCGGTTGAAAAGTATTTGCAAATATTTCCGAGTCTGTTTTCACCTGCCAGATGGGAGGGATTACTGCACCACGGAAAGTTGGAGAAAAGGTCACGTTGCTTTTGTAACTTTTGTAACATAAGAAACTTCATTTTTATTTTCCCATTTGCTGAAGGAGACATTTTAAATATTTCCTGTAAAAATGTATCAAAACCGAGACACAGTTATGAGTTAATAAACTCTACAACCAGCCTTGTTTATGATGTAAAATGGTACCAAGTGATATAGTCACAGGTGGACTGTTCTTATTTTTTAAAGAAAGTGAAGAGAAAAAAAAAAAACACTTGACATCTGGTCATTTTCAGTTCTCTGAACAGTTGTCCACAGTCTTTCACTTTGTTTTTTCATTTGTTCTCTCCTTTTCACTTTTCTTGGCACATCTTGATTGTGAACGGGGTGGCAGCATAGCTGCTCATCTTATTTCCACAGCTTTAAGACTTGATTATAACTGAAGCTGTGTTTTCACTGTCATAGCTTTCTGCTTTAGTTGAACTGTGACATCCTTCTAAAATCATGTACTTTGTGAATCTTTGCTTAAAGTTAATGCATACCATTACCAATACCATTAAGACTCTAAATATGGATATTATTCACACTTTCTAGCAATTTAAAGCAAAACAAGTTAATTGAGACACATTATTATTAATTTACGGTTGTTATGTAAAGCATCTCTTTCAGCTGATATAATTAAGGGCAATAAATTAGCATATTAATATGGCCCAATCCACACACAATCACTTTGTCACCCTGTCCAACAGCGCTAACACATAAACTCCACTGTAGCCAAAGAGACAGAGAAGTGAAAGAGACTGAGCCAGCAGCATGCAGTCCTGCAAGACCCTGGAATTTCAAGTGTGGGAGGCACGTTTGCTACAAAATGTTCACGCTCGCTGATGAACACAGACAGAGACGAAGGATGGATTGGGTTAAAAGAAGTCTACAAAATGGAGAGTGGACCAGACGCAAAGAAACTGAGAGCTGGAAAGTCTAAGGTAAAAACAAAAGATTTTTTTTTTAGAGCTGCTTCTTGGCAGAAAGTGCAGCTACAGCAGGCCCAGAGTTTTAAACGTTGCTCAGAGCTGGCAGAGCCATGTGTGAGTGCACTCTGTGGGAGCACCGAATCTTGTTGCCCAGCATAACGTGGTGATTCAGACACAACAGCGGAACCCATCAAAACCCATTTACCCTCCTGTGGTGCACAAACACCCCGAGAGACAGCAGTTTTCACAAGGCTACGCAGTGAAATGCCATGAGGAAAGCATTTTAGATCGGGCTCCGGGATGCCACAGTTTTTCTGGTTTACGAACAGAAAGTACACTGCAACGTATTAGGTGACCATCACAGTGTTTATCTAATAAGTGCATGATCAGCAACACATGTCCGTCCTCTCACACTTGATAGTGATTGTGGTATGATGAAGAGCAGGGTAAAGGGAGGAGGCGGAGGAAGAGGAAGAAATAGTTTGTTCTCCCATGTGGTTTTGGCCCGTTCTGAGGAACTTGGAGTCTGGCCAGTCTTTCCTGGGGTTAGCCTTTGATATGGATGGGAATCATTATGTAACTGAATCTATTGTCAAAGAATAAAACAATATGGGG